AAATAATTTTATTTTAGTTTTTTTAATAAAGTAATACTTTATTTATTATTAAATTAAAGTATAATAAAATAATTAAAATAGTATAAATAGTTAATTTAGATTATTTTTTATTTAATATAAAAAAATTAAAAATTTGATTAAAATTTGAATAATTTTTATTAGAAATAATTATTAATTTTATATTGATATATTAATCTTTTTGTATTAGTTATATAATAATAAATATTTTTCAAGTATTTTAATAATCAGTAATCAGATTAAAATAAAAAAATTGCTAAAATAATTATCTTAATAAGATAAATCTGATAAGTTATAGAATATTTAATTTGAATTATTAGTTATCAATATATTTATATTTATTTAAATGGCTCAAAAATAAGTAATCTCTTTAAAAATTAATCTTAAAAATAATAATATAGAGAATTATTTATTATCATAACTTTAAATATTTTAAATTAGAGACTTATTATATATCTTGATTGGAATTAAAAATATATCATATGATTTTTTTATCATATAAAACTTATTTTATTGATTAATTATAATAATATATTATATATAAATAATTTTTATTAATTTAATATTAGATCTAAGTCTCTTAAAATTAATTATATCTAATATCTATTTAATTAGTATTTATACAAACTTTTAAGAGTCTCTGTATATCATTATATAACATGCTATGTTGCATATCATTGCTTAATGCCTGCTATATCATTGGCTGCATTATATAATATGCTATATTACATTACATACGCAAAATTGAAACAAATTCACGTGATTGGCGAGTTAAGATTTCCCCGCACCATATATGTATTAATTTTTGGATTGATTAATTAGTATATGCACGTGCAGTACTCCATTACAGTATATGTAAAAAGAGAAAATTGACAATAAAGTTAACAAATCTTACAAATTGGACTAAAAGAACTGCAAAACATATGACGTCAAAATTCCCAATACAACAACGCCAACAATTCTTTCAACACGGATTCCGACAGCACTACTTCCACCATTCGCAACTTCTTTTGACGAACTAGCAACATCAACATTCGAACAACTAGTCAGAGTCAAATTACTCTTCAAATTATCTACCACCGAAAGCAAAGGCGCATCACTATAGATATTGGAAACTTTTTTGTAGTCGTCGTTGCACAGAATCGATGCCGGAACTTTTACTGCTCTATCGATATGGCTGGGATTGGAGTACGCGATATCGATTTTAGGCTGCAGTGGGAATTCATAGGCTTGGATATATAGTGTGGCATCGTTTTTTGAAAGGTTTTTATTGATATAGTTGAACTCTAGATTGCCGATTTGTTTCCATGCGTAGCGTGCACAAATAATTATAAAGAATAACTCAAATAAGCTGACAATTATCTGTAACTCAGATTATTATACAGACCTCCCACTGAACTTTGCATGCATAGATTCGTATAAAGAGGCGACGCAAAATAAGAATCAAGAAAATACTGCACCAAAAAATTATTAATATAATTATTAGAACTCAATTCCATCGCACATTCACTCAATATTTGTTTACAGCTTTTAATTGAAGTTGAACTATCACATGGATTAGACGACGAACAAACCTTTTTGATTTTGTCATTAAGAAAAGCGTAATTAGAGTCCGCAGTGGATTTGAATCCGAATTGGTCACCAGTGAATTTGCTGTTTGATGATGCTTCGTCTTGCGATATTTGTGCGTATAGTCGGACGTAGTGTTGACCGGTTAGTGGTGATCTTGTGTCGTTTTGCATAAAGTTTACGGTGAATGAACTTAATGTGCTTAAACACTGTGTGCATTGGCCATTTCCACCAACAATTCCATATCTGTCAAATAATTTTGAATAATCTGCTGACGTCGATGAAATGATGTAAGCTGTTATTGATACTAGCAGAGAAATGCAAAAATTATTTTTTGGTCCCATTATTTTCGAAGAACGACACAAGGTTTAAAT